CTGTGGGGTAAATTTGCAGACGGTCCCTAAAGCAGCCTAGGCGAAAATACAGCGCATATCAAACCTAACTTTACCACGCTATCAGAGCTTTATTAACAAAATTTATGATAAATGCTTACAAATGACAGTCCTGTGCAGTGATATATATAATGTTATTTTGTTAAAATGTAGTTTTTAAAACAAAAAGTAATACATCAAATTATGCAGTGGCAGTCCCTGGCTGCTAGAGATGCCGGAGACAGACCCTGGCTGCTGGAGATCAGTGTTGCTGGAGATGCCGCCGGAAGTGCCCCTGCGAGATGCCGAAATCACCAACTACAGACGGGCTTCGCTAACGTTAGCCTATGTATTTAGATGGGAGATAATAAGAACAGAGAATAATTAAGTTAACTTGTCCCTGAGTTTAAGATGTTAAATTAGTTATCTTAGCCAGTAAACTACCTGTTGCTAGCCATTGCTACAACCTTGCTCGCTCTTCTGTCAGAGTGGCAGCGTCAGTGGCGGGAAAGCGTAAAGTGGGCGTGGACAACCTGTCACTTCAATCGAGAGTGACCAATAGAAAAAGGCCTTTCATCACTCACAAGCAAAACTTTTCAACTGGCAAGCAAAAGATTTATATGGAAGCCCGTTTCCGCCACTGAATAAAAAATAAAAGAGGTAATTGCGAATTTTTATCTCACAATTCTGACTTTTTTTTCTCAGAATTGCGTGACACAAACTCGCAATTTTGACTTTTTTCCCTCAGAATTGCGTGATATAAACTCGCAATTGCGAGTTAAAAAGTCATAATTGTGAGATATAAACTCGCAATTGCGAGACATAAAGTCGCAATTCTGAGAAAAAAAAGTCAGAACTGCGAGATATAAACTCACAATTCGGACTTTTTTTCTCGCAATTGTGAGATATAAACTCGCAATTCTGAGAACATATCAGTCTTTTTCTCCCCTCAAAATTGGACTTTAACTCGCAATTGCGAGTGTATATCTCACAATTCTGAGAAACAAAGTCAGAATTGCTAGAAAAAAAGTCAGAATTGCGAGATATAAACTCGCAGTTCTGTGAAAAAAAGTCAGAATTGCGAGTTTTTATCTCGCAATTCTGACTTTATAACTCGCAATTGTGAGAAAAAAGTCAGAATTGTGAGATAAAAAGTCGCAATTACCTTTTGTTATTTTTTATTCAGTGGCGGAAACGGGCTTCCATAGATTTAGACCCACAAAAGACAGCAGAAAAGAGAGCAACACGCACGGCAAATAATTTTGTTATCGATTTCATTATTTTCGAGCCTTAAGAAGACTTTTTTTGCAATATTTTATTTTTCAGTAAAGAAGACTGTATTTCTTTACTTGAGTCCAAGTTCAAAATAAAACTCTATGAACAGGAAGTGTTTGTCCGAACGCAAATATCTTTGCGAGAGAACGCAAAAGATTTGAAAAATATATTTTCCTCCCACATCGTATTTTTCCCACCAACATGTCCCTTTATGGGTTCCGTAGGATAGGCTACATACAATTAGGGTGATATTAAATGACTTAACCCGTGATATAAGATTTTGACCATATTGCCCATAGTCAACAGGCATGTCATGTAGGCTACTTTTCTTGTATTTCGTCACTGTGGCCTCAAAGCTTGTAGAAAAAAATAAAAATGTGGGGAAAAAAATACAAATATACATAAATAAGGAAATAAAAGTATAAATAATTATTTATTTTAGTTTTTTTTACTTTTCTTTGTATATTTATTTTTATATTTATATACTTTTACATTTTAACATTTCTTTGTATATTTATTTATATATTTATTTATTTATAATTTTGTCAGGTCGTTACCTCGACAAAATGATCTCGTGGCCACGAGATTTTATCATGTTCCCACGAGTTATTATGATGTTCCCACAAATGAATAGCTCGTGGCCATGACATTTTATCACGTTCCCATGAGTTATTATGCAGTGGCATAACTAAGTGACAAAACTAAGTGAATCGAACGTCTCCGGTTACTGTCGTAACCTCGGAGCGGGAACGAGACTCCTTCTACATTTCCTGAAGTCCTATTGGCTCACGCCAGTCCAATTGACTGGTCTATTGTCACAAAGTATGCAAATAGCATGCAAATACTAACTAGCTCGAGAGGCAGTATAAAATGTGGTGCACGTGACAAATACGTCAGAATCTGATCCTGAACGCTGCCCTGCTGATCGAGCAGCGATCACGGCGATCTCCGCAATGTCTCATTCCCGCTCTCAGGGAACCAAGGTTACGACAGTAACCGGAGACGTTCCCTTTCAAGCTTTCTCTCGACATTGCGGAGCATCTGCTTTGGGAACAGTATTCAATTCCGCCGTGAGAGTGGCTATGATCAGCCCACACAAGGTTATACACCAAGCAGGGATAGAACACACCCACAATTCTCAACCAATAACGATGTTTGCCATGCGAGCCCTCAGCTGATAGGCGGAGATAAGCCAACGACTGTCTAAAACCCAGGTATACAAAATTTGCATATCTGGCATGAAATAATAAGATCCCGCACTGAATACAGAGCAGATACAGCAACAACAATAGCATTGGGGGCTGCACAGAGTATAATAGTGTTAAGCAGCCTATTCACTAGCATAAGGGATAGCATAAAGTGAACCAGTCACTCACCGATAGCATTCGGGATGCAAAGGACGGAATGTCCAGCTTGTAAAAACTAGTGAAGGTGTTCTGAGAAGACCAGCCGGCTGCAAAGCATATATCCTGAATAGACATACCTCTCGACCACACCCAGGACAAGGTGATAGCCCATGTTGAGTGGGCCCTAATGTGCAAGAGGCATTCCAAACTTTGGCTCATATAAGCAGCCATGATAGCGTACACAATCCAGTGGGAAAGCCTCTGTTTTGACACAGCCCAGCCCTTCAGATTGCTGAAAGCTGGCTGAACGGTCAATGTAAATCATCAAAGCCCTGACGGGGCACACCGAAATCTGAGCGTCAGCATCACGCGAGGTCGATGACTCAGAAGACAGGGCAGACAGTGAAACAGTCTGCGCTCTGAAGGGAGTAGATAGCGATTTAGGCACGTAGCCCCGTCTCGGCCGGAGAGTGACGCTGCAGTCACTGGGTCCAATGGGATTACAATTGCTGTTCACAGAAAACACGTGTAAATCCCCTACGCGCTTAGCCGAAGCGAGGGCGAGAAGAAGTGCAGTTTTGAGAGATAGTTCCTTCATAGCAATTGATGTTAAAGGCTTTTAAACGTTCTTCCTGGGTACCGGCCACACTTTCCCCCTAACATCCGGCTCCTGCCGAGGGTCTGCTGTGGCAGGCCTTTCCTCCCTCCTCTGAGCTGGGCGGGTCGCCGAAGACGACCTAGATCTGGAAGGCGACTGGAACGAGCGTCGAGGCATGACCTGACTCATAGCTTTGCCGCGCTTTTGAACCTTCGCGAATCTCTCAACGATGGACTCCACAGCATCACCAAAGAGGCCGGAGGGAGTGATAGGTGCATTAAGGAGCACCTTACGGTCTGCATCCTTGAGGTCAGCTAGGTTCAACCATAGGTGCCCCTGAAGAACTACCATGAAACCCAAGGATCGGCCGATCGCCTATGCAGCACGCATCGTTGCCATCAACGCGAAGTCTGTCGCCGCATGCAGATCATTGATAGTGTCTGCAGTGATGGCCCCGCCCTCCAGGGACTGCAGGAGTTTGGCCTGGAAAACCTGTAGCACCGCCATGGTGTGCAGGGCGGACGCTCCTTCCCCAGCCGAGGACTAGGCTTTGCTGGCCAGATGGGCCGTCATCCTGCACGGCTTGGAGGGCAGGCTGATATCCGCACCAAGGGTCTTGGCTGAAGCAGGACACAGGTGTGTGGTGACAGTCTCCTCGACGGGGGGCATGCACACATACCCGTGGGCTTCCGCCCCGTCCACATGGGAGAAGATGGCCTGCGTGGCTGAGTGGATGCGCGCCGATTGGGGCGCAGACCCCACCTTAACCAGCTTGTCGTGGACGTCCGGAAAGAAAGGGGCCGACGTCCTCGAATCTGCTTGATGGAGGCTGGATATAAAATACTAGGAGTCAAGTTTGCTCTTTGTGGGCTCTTCTGGAGGATTCCAGGAGAGCTCAAGCTCCTGGACAGCCTTAGTCATGATCCTGACAAGCTCCCCTTGGAGGTCTGGGGGTCCCTCACTGTTAGGACGATCCCGCTCCGACTCCGCCCAGTCCTCCTTCTCCGATGCCGAGATGGACATTGAGTCCTAATCACCTTTCTGGCCGAAGGCAACGAAGTCCACGACGGGTGGAGGGGGGCGGAAACAGTGATCTGAAAAGGTGACTGGGGATCGATGTTATTGCGGAGGGCAGTGCCTTCGCGCCGAGTCGTCGCTCTCACCTCTGGGTGGGTGAAGGGGGCCCATCAGTGGCTCGCTGGCGGCAGTGAGCCTCACCCCGAAAAGGCCACGAGCCATATTCCGGTGAGTTCTCAGCACACGCGCCCGCAGGTCCGCACAATGTGCGCAGTTGGACAGGCAGGCAATGCAGTGATCCTGTTTGTCTGGCGGGTCAATAGGTCCTGCACAGATACTGCAGTAGGATGTCATCTTCATTCTCGATGCATAAGCCAACGTGAAGGAGAAGATTCTGACGTAATTGTCGCATGCACTGCATTTTATACTGCCTCTCGAGCTCGTCAGTATTTGCATGCGATTTGCATACTTCACGACAATTGGCCAGTTAATTGGACTGGCGTGAGCCAATAGGACTTCAGGAAATGTGGAAGGAGATAAGTTCCCAAAGCGGATGCTCTGCAATGTCAAGAGAAAGCTCGAAAGGGAACATGTCCCCTCCCGGTCACCGTAGGTTTACACATTTCTGACATCCATCTTTATTTTACTCTACAGGCACTAAAGGGCAGATGGATAAACTCACATTTAAAATGTTTGCTCTAGCATGTTTCTCTATTATTTCAACACTGATTTTGGCATACAAGAGTAGTTATCCTCTTTACCAATATATGATTGCTTCCTATAATACACGAAAAATCCCAGACGCTTTAAATTCGACATTGTCCATCAAAGACTCAGAGCATGCTTTCTATAATACATGCAGAATCACAGAGGCTTTAAATTCAATTACGCCCATCAAAGACTCAGAGCATTTCATGGTGTCTGCGTTCATCGACCACAGACTGGATGGGGTCATTCGAGTCATCAGCATAATCAGCAGAAACCATCTTCAGCCACTTTACTGTGTTTACTGCAGCACTGAACAAGTCTGCAAAACTGTTCACACAGATGTCCAGATACACCGCGACCATTTTGGCTTCCCGTTTCACGTCTCAGATGTGATTTGTAAAGGCAGGCACATGCAAAATGCAACACATGTCCTTATATCAACTAAAGATTCAGACAACAATGTTACGGAGTATCTGCCAATTAAAAATCGTGTTGGAATGAATACTTTTAAGTATAACTTCACAGTTTGCATTTCCACCCTTTTTGGCAACTACAACAATGTACTGCAGTTTGCTCAATCAATGGAGATGTACAAGCTTCTGGGTGTACAGCATGTGGTCATCTATAAAACTAGTTGTGGACCAGACTTGGAAAAACTCTTAAAACATTATGAAACCGAGGGGATGCTGGAGATCGTTCCATGGCCTATCGACCAGTTTCTGAACCCGTCATCAGGCTGGAAATTCAAGAAACACAAAGGTGACATCCATTATTATGGTCAGCTGGCAACACTCAACGAGTGCATTTACAGGCACATGTACCAATCCAAATATGTTCTCCTGAATGACATTGATGAAATCATCATGCCTTACAAACACGCCAATTTACCATCTCTTATGAAGTACCTTCAGTCTGCTCATCCCAGAGTAAGTGTATTCCTTTTTGAGAGCCACGTATTCCCCACAACACAGTTTGAGGAGAGTGGGAAGTTCAAACGAGCAGAATGGAATAATATTCCTGGTGTGAATATCATGGAGCACATTTACAGAGAACCTGATCGAAAGAACATTGATAATCCCAAAAAGATGATTGTCAACCCAAGGAAGGTGCAGAAAACTTCAGTACATTCCTCATTGCAAAAATATGGATATATTCATCATGTAGCATTTCATGTGTCTAGGATGGTACATGTGAGAAATCCAATGCAGGTGAATCTTACTAAAGAGCAACTGTTTGTGGACAAAAGAATGTGGGACTTTAAGCAAAAACTGATACCGAATGTTGACCGGACTTTGAAGCGTTCAGGTTTGTTAAGGCCTCACTGATGATATGATTTTATTATAGTTATGCAGATCTGATAAATTTGACATCTGAATTTTTGCTTTCAAAAAGAAAAAAAGAAAAAAAGAAAAAAAAGAATGCCTTTTGATAAATATAATCTCTGCCAAAATTATTGCAAAACCGATTTAGACCAAAGTAAAGTTAAAAAGGTCCAGCATTTTGCACAAAAAATACTGATGTCTTGCATATGTATGTCTCTGATCCGATTTCATTCGTACTCAGCAAATTAACTTATGGTTTTAACTCAGCCTTTCCTTTTGGAGTTGTTTCCAATCAGGAAAGTTACATTTACAATGAATTATTTTGTATTATTTTTAGTGCTGTCAAAATTAGAGCGTTAACGCAGGTGAATATTTTTTTCAGTTTAACGCATTCAAAATATTTTACGCAATTAACGTAGGGGGGCTAAGGTTGGCCACCCCGCTCACAACTGCTGCTTCTGTCTCTTTTTTTCCTGACAATAATTGCATTTATTTAGACGCAGAATGTCTTTACGACCACATAAAACTCCAGACTTTTCAGATGCGCACTCCAACTTCGCCTCGGCGAGCTTCAGTAGAACAACAGTGAACTGGGCAGCTCTTAAAGCAGCCAAAATAACCTAATAACCCAGCTGCTGTGATGTCTGTTCATCAAAGAACAAAAGAAAAAAAGAGGAAATCAATAACTTTAGTAGCTTTAAGGATTCATCTATATTTAATTTAGAATTTAGTGTTTGATAACTTTAGTCAATTTCTGCTTATTTCCTACTTGCTGAAGGGCACAGGTAAATGACATTTATTATAGCCTAATGGGTTTATGTGAAGATGATTTTAAGTTCACTTAAATTAGAAGCTGTTATTTTTTGCTCTCAATTATATGTTGAATGGCTATATTCAATGGCTAAATATTAGGGGAAAAAACAATTTCATAGAGACATGTTGGTATCAGTGATACTGGCCTTTAGTCATAAAAAAAGATGCCATTAAACAAATATAAAAAAATATACTGTCTTTATAGACCAATTTGGAGTAGACGTCACAGTTACCTCACTTGCAGCTGCGCGCGCATAGTGGTGGCAGAAAAACACTGGGAACAAGTGGAGGGATACGGGTAAAATCCATGGAATAAGAGAAAAAAATTATTGTTGTGCCTTTGGATGTCAGAATCGGAATGCAAATAATTTTTATATAACACTGTCGTCAAACACGCCATTTGAAGCTAAACGCAGACGTTTAAACGTACAGACTATGGATGAAACCTGCTATGATTACCCTGCTTTTAAAGCATAAATTTGATTTAAACAATAGGTCTATATAATATTCAAATAGGGGACATATTGTATTAGCCCTATAGTTGAAATACATGCATGAAATACTATTTAAACCTATACAATTTTACATAACATTTCTTCCTTACAAACGGGTGCATAGTTATTATTATTATTAGTAGTAGTAGTAGTGGTATTATCATTATTATAATTATTATTTACTCTTAGTTATGTGATGCGTTTCTGGTCTCAAATTGTAGCTTTTTACTTAAACAAGGTGTTTTAGGAGGGCGTGTACAAGTCTTAACTTTTATAAAGAATATCTCTTTGGATTTGAGACTTTAGTCTTTGCAACTCTACAGATCTTCTTTATGCACCAAGAGCTTGTAACACTCCAAAGAGAAAGGAAAAATTGAAATCGCATCATATGACCCCATTAAAACTGTCATTTTCTGCCACCAGATAGGCTCTGCTCACAAAAAACGTCATCACTGTTTGCAAACACCAAAGCAGCCCAGCTAAGCCAGCCCCTTATAATAATCCAAATCTCAAGTAATCACATTTCATGCGTTAATCCTTGGCATTATCATTTATTATGCCCTGTCTTACAAAAGCCACAATTGTCTTTTTTCAGGCATTTTAATAACTTAGCATCTTGACGGGATAAAATGCAATTTCTGTTCAGCAGTACTTTTGTTTTGGTCTTAGTGTGGCAACTTTGGATCTGATAACTTGCCATAACAGCTGGAAAACATTGCTCCACCATAAAAAAGTTAAACAAATTTTATTCTATTAAAGAATTCTTTTACAAATTGTACGGCCTAATATTAGAAACTGCTTCTCTCAGGTTTCGCAGCCCAGCTAAGCCAGCCCCTTATAATAATCCAAATCTCAAGTAATCACATTTCATGCGTTAATCCTTGGCATTATCATTTATTATGCCCTGTCTTACAAAAGCCACAATTGTCTTTTTTCAGGCATTTTAATAACTTAGCATCTTGACGGGATAAAATGCAATTTCTGTTCAGCAGTACTTTTGTTTTGGTCTTAGTGTGGCAACTTTGGATCTGATAACTTGCCATAACAGCTGGAAAACATTGCTCCACCATAAAAAAGTTAAACAAATTTTATTCTATTAAAGAATTCTTTTACAAATTGTACGGCCTAATATTAGAAACTGCTTCTCTCAGGTTTCATTATATGTTCTGTGTATTTTGAAGATGAACGAACGACATGAGTGTGAGTAATTGATGACAGAATTTTCGTTTTTGGGTGAACAATCCCTTTACGTTGTCTTCAATAGGAAATTAGAAATTAGAGTTAAAACCAATTTTCCAAATGATACTTAAGGATTTAAGATGTGACTTTTAAAAAAAGGGGGGGGTTGGGGGTGTGACAAGTAGGGGCAAGCCGTGTCATGTCACACTGATTCACTGGGGTATATCTAGACATCTACATTTTAAACGCAAATATGAACACATAAGCCTGACACTTTGATAAGTTGAATGAAAGCACACATTTTTAAACATCAGTGGAAGAATTCTGCTACAGCCATAACTAAAGGTCATTTTGGACACAAGACTTCTCTAATGTGGCATCAGTACAACCAGTCAAATTAAATTTGCTTTGGTGCATTCTTCAGGTCATTGTTATTTAGCACCATCACAGTGCAGTATTTACCATGATGGAGAGTGTGACCCATGGTAGAAGATGAGTATGACTCTATAGCTGACTTTTTCACTCTTTAATAAAGCAGTCCATTTCTGCTTCAAAACTGTAATTTAGACTTGGGTGACATCATCACTGACGTACATGGAAGCAACGGTCCTATTTAATGACAGCAGCAACAGAAAGACATTCTATATGCAGGATAAACACAGAAAATTTATTACAATATCACATAGGTCTTTGCATATAGCCATGTGTTCTGATAATGCACGATTATGCTTGTACTTATCTCGCTACAGAAACTAAATTCATGCTCTGCAAGGATAGAGAAATGAAGGTAAACAGAGAAGGAGAAAGAGAGAGAGAAGGAGAAAGAGAGCTACTGCAATCATTTGATTATGCCCTCTCAAGCTTGCAAAAGATATGTCAATTAGCATCTACAGTATGGTCATCATATGAGGAAGTGAGTGCGCAAATGTGCCTTTTGCCTGCAGGGCCACCACTTTTGCATTTCTTTTAAGGATGATGTGTACACTCATCAGCAGAGGTACACATGAAACCTTTTTATCTGAAAAGTAGGGGGACATATGATAAAACATCAGCCTAGCCCCTGAAATATTAATTATTTACAGTTTTTCAATTCTCAATTATCGAATGAATTTTTTTTTTCCGAAACAATAAGTTCAGATCTCTGAACTTTATTTTGTTTCTGTGTTTCTTCGTAGAGAATCATGGAGTTAGAAGGACATGAAACAACCCACATTCTTGTTTTTGTGGACGAGGCCGGGTTCAATCTGTCCAAAGGCCGGAGACGTGGTCGCAATCTCATTGGACACCGAGCCACAACTGACACACCAGGCCAACGTGGGGCCAATATTACAATGTGTGCTGCCATTTCAGAGAATGGTGTGAGCACACATATTCCACACATTGGGCCCTATAATACCCAACTTCTCCTGGCCTTCCTAAACACACTTTACAGAGACCTGATTCCAGAACAAGAAAGAGGTTTAGTTAGACCACATTTGCCTAATTATGTTGTTGTCTGGGATAATGTCAGCTTCCATGCTGCACATGAAAGGATAACAGTGGAGTTCCTTCCACCATACTCTCCATTCCTAAATCCAATAGAAGAGTTTTTTTCAGCATGGAGGTGGAAAGTATATGATCATAGACCACAAGATCAGATGTCTCTGTTGGATGCCATGAATGCTGCATGTGAGGACATCACAGCTGATCATTGCAGGGGATGGGTGCGGCATTCAAGGAGATTTTTTCCCCGGTGCATGGCAATGGAAAACATCAGATGTGATGTTGATGAAAATCTTTGGCCTGACCAACGAGATTATTATTATTATTTATTTGTTATTTTGTAATTATTTGTTATTTTTGTGTATTTGTGGTAACATAAGAAATATGAAATGTACAGTAATTGGACAAGCAAGATTTAACTTATATGTAATGCATTCGTACAAAAATAAATGTACTGTATAAATACAAATGTTCATATACTTTTTTCTATGTATTATTGACTCTTCTCAACAAATATCAGATTTTTTATAAAACCTTCATTTCCATGGTTGACTGTCATGGTGAAAAAACAACTAAACATTTTGACCAGTGTGGCTCACACGATGACAAAAATACTTTATATTTTGGTGGCCTTGGCCAAATTACTGACACGATAACTAGGTTTTGAAGCATGAATGAAATGTTTTGGGTGAGTAACTACATTTTGCAGACATGCAATAAAGTTCTGAAGTTCCAGCAAACAGTTGTGACATTTGCACTCACAGTTTAGAGACTGTTTCGAAAAATGTGCCAAAGCAACTTAGAAAAACTGTAATTTAACATTTGTTCAGTAGTTCTGAATAGCAAGTATGCAAGGATATAAGGATTACTTATAAGGGTAATAGATTAGCAATTAGGCATTTGAACAACCAGCAATGCAACCGATTGGCAGAGATTTCTGAGTAGTCTTAAATCTGTAATTATAGATTGCTAGCGACAATCTTTGCACTGCGGCCTAGCTAGCTGAATGGCTAGCTGGATGGATAGATAGACAGA